ATTTACCTGGTTTTCTTCTGCTTTTCTAGCTGAAAAAAAAAAACCAATTTTTCTTTTTTGCTATCTCCTCTTGGGATAGGAAAAATTTCAAAGAAAATTCTCTTTCCTCAAATCTGCAGTTTCCAAGGTGTGTTACTGAAACAGAAAACATAAAACAATCTCAATGTTACAAATTTCAAGTACGTGACTATTATGGAGCTCTTAATTAGACTATAAATGGAAAAGACAGATTTACGGTGGCTTGCTGAACAAGTGGAATCATGCAGAGCATACTATGCCTTTTAATAAAACCCTAAAATGCAAATACATTACTTCATGCTTTTACCAGACAGAATGGTTTCTCCCACTTGCTCCTTCAGGAATGTGCTTACAAAATTCCACTTCTCAACTCCTACTTCAAAATTCCTCCCAATTATGGCCATGTTTTCCGCTCTTGCTTAAAAAACATTTAATGGCCTTTTATTACCTGCAGATCATTTATTTTCTAGAAAAGAATCCAAAAGAATTAAACACTACCCCTACACATTGCTGTTTCCATGCTAAAGTAAACTGTCATCTAAAGAAGCAAAGTATGGTGGCAGGAAAGGTGGAATCTCCCTCCTGATCTGTCTGAAACTTCCCTTGAGATGTAGGACAAAGTACATAGGACTCTCGACTCTTTAATAAATAGTGGCATACTCTTGAGATCTCATTCTGCCTACCCTCTCTGAGAAGTTGCCTACCCCAGAGAAAATTTGCCCGGTGCTAGCAGAAACCTAGTTTCCGTGATAGTTTAAGACCCCCCACTGTGGTCCAAGTTGGCAAAGCCAAAATTACATTCCCTTTTTCTCCCCCCAGCACCTGGGCAGTAACCTCTGACTTTGGAAAGGGGACATGTCTGAGCAAGGCAAAAGTATGTTATACCACATCGCTAAGCTGAAATGAATTTGCCCATCACGGCTCTTCATTTTATCAAACCAGAATAATAATTCAGTCCTCCTCCTCTGTCAGCGTTGTGATGCCAGCCTTGTTAATGTCTCTAAAGCTGTCTGAAATCCTTTGAGAGGAGCAGCTATGGAGGTACAAAGCTGTAAGACTGAAATAGCTGTGGTTTCCATGGTTCAGTGACTTTCTCAGACTTCAGTGATGACAATTATAGGGGCTGGACTTCTTGTCCTTTGTTCCTCTGAAAATAGCTTTCAAAAATTGTAGTATAAGTCCAGAGTGGGAAGGTAGGTTACAACAAGGGGGAAGTCAAAGAGGGGGAAGTCAGGCTCATCTATCTTATTTCTTTACCCGCATTATCATGCACCTACACAAATTAAGACGTGGTTTCTTTCTTTCCTCACCTCCTTAAAGAATGAATTTATGAGGTGCAAATTTAGAAGCAAGTGGCATCAGCAAACACACATGGCCTGTGAACGTTTGTTTCTTAAAGACTGACTGTGCTGTAAATAGGTTAAATTATCTGTTTCAGGGAAGAGAAGCAACCTGTTCTCTCCCTATCATGTTTCCTTCATGCTGAGTTCCAGTTGTACCACACAAACTCAGAACATTCAGTTTTACCACACCCCCAATGAGATGGGAGAGAAAACAGGAGGGCACATACAGTTATGCTGCATTCAGGTGTTTGCGTATTTTGTGCATTCAGGTTTGTGTGTGCTTTTCTCTGGGTTTTGTGAATTACCTGTCTTCAGCTGCCTACCACTTGCTTAAATGGGTTGTGTTTAGTTAGATTTAACTAATTTAAGAAAATCTACATTGTTATTTCTAAACAGTATATCAAATTATAGCTTTAAGGGAATAATATTTTATATTTAACAAAATAATTATATTTTAATAAGTTGTATCTTTTTCATTAACCATGGCAAACCTCTGTGTGTGCATTAAATAAAATGTTGTGAACAGCTGCTGGCTCTTAAATTTAGGTTCATCTAGCTAACAAAACAAAGATATATTCATGTAAAAATATACTAAGGGAAAAATGATGCTTCTGAAATGTACACCAAGAGTGCGGTCATGAAAAATTCAGAAAATTAGTAAATCATCTACCTGGGACTTCATCTCTGGAGACAGATGAAGTTGTATCTCTTGCTAAGGTCATTTGCCTTCTTTGTTTTCTGCACATACCAGACAAGAGATGGACTTGACCTTATCAGCAGAGCACACTGCATCTCTGTCTCTTGAGCAGCTCTCAGGCTGTCCTGAACACCTGAAGAGTCACAATGAGCCTAGAAAATGTAAATGCAAACAATCCATATGGTTGTGTATCCCCTTTTTTCTCCTTCTTTCTGCAGGCATAGAGAAGACACTGCCATGACAGGAGGCAGCATGGGCTGAGCACATTGTGTTCCTAGTCACTGACCGAGCATCACTTGCTCGACAGAATGGGAATGCAGAGGAAAAGAAGCACACATTCCCACAAGTTACATACATTGACTCAGTGTGACCAATACACCCAGCACTGGGGTGAAGATGACACATTGTCACTGCTTGTCTTTGCCAGAAAGAATAAAATGAAAAGCACAGAATAAATTTACAATTACACTTTTGAACCACAAGAACCATTACAGGAAGTCTTTGTAGATACTGATTTATATTTACAGTAAACTTTTCTAGCATTCATTTCCAAGTAATCTCTTTCCTTTGCTAAGGTTTCCTAAATCAAATGACTGAAATTTATGATATGAAGGCTGCAGTGCTTGGGCTATTTGCATAAAGTATCTTAGTACACATTTAAAGGATGTCAAGTTAAATTTATGCTCCATGCCTAGTTCCTTTAGAACCAGGACTCGAGTGTTTTCCAATATGAAGTCCCTAAATAGTCAGCCTTAGACCTCTGCAAACCTGGAGTATTTCCCTTCATGTTGATGCAATTGATGTTACTAATTGGGAAGGGCAGCAGATTTTGATGCATTGGAGTTTTTTGGGCCAGACAAATGGACTGCAATTAAAACATGGTTGTTAAACCCTGAATTGATGAAAGATTTATTTGAAAATAAAACTGTTTATGCAGGAAAATATATGTAGTTTGGATCAGTGTACTATAGACAGAGTTTCTGTACAGCAGATAAGCCTTACAGCAGCTGATAAGCCTAAAGCAGACAGTGGAAGGGAAATATTTTTATTCCATTGCTGCCTGGCCAGTATTGTACCAGCACCAACTGTTTCAGACACTTCTGCAGTGTGACAATATTTGCAAGTGTTTCCTTCCAAAATGTGCAGAATTTAATTCCAAGTAAGCAGGACTGTTTTGACACAACTTATCAAGTGCTACCAAACAGAGCAGATTCAGACCACACTTGTTCCATTTGCTAAATTCAAAGTTTCCCATGTGGAAGCCAAGGGAATTAGGCTATACAAAAGTAGGGGTTTTGTACATAACTTTTTCTTTAAAGCCAGCTACTGTGGCCATGTACATCTATTGCCAGCAGATTGAAAGTTTAATTGAGACAGTAAATTTATTTTCCATAGAAGAATGGCGGTAGAGAAAATGAAAACCTTTTTACGTCTCCTTTGCTAACCTTTTTCTAGATACCAAAACTTTACTTGGCATTCTGTAGTCCATTATTTTCCCTTTTAAATTCAACACAAGGCGGTTATTTTAGAAACTACTTCCAATTATATACATGATCATTTGGCATAAATAATTTTAAAACTAAAACTCTTCTGCCATAAGTTTCATTTGGATGATGATTTCTAATACAGTAGTATTGACATACATTTATTTTACAGGCTGTTCTACCAGGACTACAGGGAAATAATAGTGTTTTGGGTTTTTTTTTAGGAGTAATGTATTTTTGAGCATAGAAGTTTTTCTTCTAGGAAGCCTTTCTAAAAGGCTAGGTACTTCTTCAGCACTTATTATTTTGAATAGTGAAGGTTTAAAATATTCAGCATTCTTCTGAAAATTATGAGTCACACTGAATCTGACTAAATTACAGTACTGTGCAACCTGGCCATCTCGCAAGGTTGTTTTATAAATGCTAAAGGAAAAAAGACAACAAAACCTACTGATATACAGAGAACAGGAATCCTTGCTGGGCAACAGATCTTGCCCTCTGCTGTAATGCTAGCTTAAATGAAGAAACTGACAATTCCAATCTTCTGTGATATAATCCTGATGGTTTCAGTCTAGTAAGGGATTAGTTTTCCTACCTTCTTCGTCACAATCCATGCTCTTTGGAGATGAAGAGCAGAAATTCTTATGCACAATTAAGAGCATGCATGTTTTATTCCTGAAGCCAAAATCCAATACACTGACAATAAGTGCTAAATTCCATTTTGCTGGACATGATTCAAAAGAAAATAAAGGTCATATTTCTAATAAAACGTAGTATTAACTACAGGAGAGGAAACATCTGGAGCATGCCTGATGGTCATTTCCAATCTTTAAAAACTAATGAGGCCCCAACAGTTAATTTTGTAGAAAATGCCCCTGCTGTTAAATCCCATGTGTCTGCTTCAAAAGACCTTAAAGCTTCAAAGTCTTCTAAGAAAATACCTTCATGTGTCAATGACCAAAGACCAATTCATGAAATTGGTCTTTCCTCAACAGAGAAACAAAGTAATGAGAATACTGAAGAGTACAAGCGTACAACTTGTACTGTTGAATACAGGAGCTGTACCTGCATATTAGCTTTCTGGCCCTGCACATAACATGATCACCTTGACTTGCAACACAGACAATTTTTTTGGTGAAGAAATCTACTCAAGTAACTTTATCTTGAAGGGCCACGGGCCACAGGCCACAGGGCTCAGCCCCACCTATGGAGAAGTTACAGCCTGTGAAAGGCTCATTGTTGCTTGCTCACTATCAGAAGTATACAACTGAGATGCAAACCACAACAGCCTGGTTCCCTGGCTTGTACCAACTTTTTTTCTGCCAGCTTCAGCACAACAACTGGGCTACAGAGAAGGTTCTGTCTACTCATTTGGGTACTTGTTCACCTCATTTCTTCAGAGAAGAACAAACCAAATTAAGATTGAACAATCAACCTATTCATATCTTCATTTAATACCTGCGGGTGACATCCAGTAATGCTCTAGCATAACAGGATCCATTGACAGTGGCATGGTTCATTCAACACTGTAATGGCAAACCCCAAGATAATTAGCTTATTTGATGAACCAGAAACACAGAGAAGGGAGAGTAGAAATACCTCAAAACCAAAACAAAACACCTGTAAAAGCCCAAGGCTCAAAAAGACATAATGAAATGCCCACATGATTTCCTTAACTAATCCTGAATATGTACTTGGCAAATTCAGTTTCAAGTTCTAAGATAAAGAATTTGCAATAAATATATTCAAGCTACAGGCTTTTTATTCTTAAAGTACATCTGTGAGGAATAAATAACAGCAATTGTATTAATTACATTTATAGCTATTATTTTCATATGGGTTATGAATACATTTTTAAGGAGAAATTTATACACAGTGTATTTGCTCACCTGTGTAGACTATGAATTTGCACTAGTAGAACTGCTGCATTGCCTTTTGAAGAGGAGAATTGAAATTCAAAAGGAACTTGAAATTAGAAGAATAGCCTGAACTAAACAGAACGCAATTCACTTACAACAGCTGCAAAATGCTGCCTTTAGGCAGGAGTTATCAACTGCACAAACTTTTTTTCTTGCAGAAAAGATCTGTGGCTTACTGATAACCAAACCTGGAGATGAGGCAGTAGTGACTTGATGTTGGGAAAAAAAACACCATCCTCTTATTGGGATGTATAAAAGTGATTGGCTAAGTAAAATATAAGACATCCTGTTTAAATTAAGGCAAGAAAACAGCTGACAAGGGTTTTTCAGGTCTGTCAGAGGAAAAGGAAATGCATTCACCTCTTATCCAAACATTCAGACCACAGAGGGAATATACCTCAAACTTGGCTGCTATCTTACTATGGCTTGGGATGACCTAAAGCACACTTTGACCTGCACTGCCCCAGAACTTGGGCGTCGTAACAGGAACAAACCTGTAAGGATCATCATCCTGGTTTAATCAGCAGATCGCAATTTAACGGGTAAAAATAGTACAAGATCTGTTGTTCTTGTGATATTCCCTACACATCAGCTGTGGAAAGAGAGTCACACGCTCTCTGATACACAGATGCTTTGACCAGATTTTCTGCTGAGGTAAATTCATGCCAGCAAAGAAGTTGATGAACTTCATTCCAGTTACTCAACAGTGAAAATATTTTAGGAACTTTGGAATTTAAAACACCAAGGCAGTACTGGTCGAACTTCAGATGGAACATTGTGTCTAGTTCTGGGTGTCACTTTTAATAAGAAATATGCCCCAAAATACAAGTCCTCTGGACTCCTTATTTATTTCGACTAAGAGTCATCAGAGGTATATAAACCAACATCGATGTGGAAAGATGGAAAGAACTGATTTTACTCAGGTTATGGAAGGGAAGAGCAGAAACATTATAATAGACTTCAGATGTATGGGAGATTTACCCCCTTTTTGTAGCAAAGTAAGTTCTTCACTTGGGAATTGCCAAGTGATCAGATCATAGGCTGAAACTGTATAAAGAAAGATGGAAGTTAGACAATTTAAAAGCTATATAACTGAAATTATCGCTAAGACTGCCTGGGGAAAGTGTAGAAATTTTTTTTTTTAAAGGCTTTTAGGAAGAAGTTATTCCCACATATTTTAATAATGGAATTTCCTGAAGGAGGATGGACTACACAATTTACTAAAATATCTTAAATCCCTGTTTTCTAGAGGTATCTGTATAGATACAAAGCAGCAACTGCTAGTTTGATCGCTCCATTCCTAGCTGGCTAGCAGCAAGCCAGGCTCAGTTCAAGAGCTGTAAAGAAACCACCAAGAGAGCACTAGCCATGCCTAAGCCAGCCAGTCCAGCTAAGATTCCCTTATACACATCCGACTTCGCTGAGCAGCAAAAGCAACCATCTCCATGGAGAACAGCTGAGAGAAACCATCCTGAGGAGCAGTGTTTAATTTGTTCCTTCAGCATTAAGACAGCAAGTTTCTCCCTGCTACTGGAATGCTGGCAGTGTCTGCAGGAGCTGGGTCCAGCCGTGGTGAACAGGGGCTGAACCTGGGATGCTGCAGCTGTAAAAGGAACATCTGCTTTAAGGAAAACACCTTGTTCTCCTCTATCAGATTGCAAACCAAAGTGTAACATTTTCCTACGATGCTAAGACAAGCAGAGAACTAAGTTCTAGGACTGCTAGTATAGATTAGTTTGAATAAAGAAGAGCAAACTCAAGAGGTGAATAATCTTGCTTATTTACCATATCACATCACAACATGTCATATCTAATTAGAAACCCCTGAACTGCTTCCAAGTGCCTAAGGTTTGTTTTCTTTTTCAAACTTTCTTAGGAGTAGCACAACCTTTGCAAAGTTCCTTGTTCTCCCTGTTAGTATAATCTCTTCCAGTTTTAAAATGGTATGCTGATAGATTTTTACAGGGTAAAAATCAAATATTTATTAGAAAATTGTCTTTGACAGAAGGCTTTTAAACTGTTTTAAAACACTTTCAGACTGCGCAAGGAGTATCTATGATACTCCTTAAAGCGTATTTACTACTGTGATCAACTGCAATCAATCAAGCTTTAATCCTGACAAGGCAAGTATAAATATTCTTTGCTTACAGATACAAAAGTTATCTGCATGCATGCCAGTAACTGATTAACATGAACATAAATTTAGACTGTATCTAAAAGATACATCAAATTTTGCACTTTAGCCAAAAATACCCGAAGAATTAGAGAGATCTAAAAAACAGGGTGACATGATTCTTTCCTGTGGGGAAGACTTGGTTTGGCTCCCCCTTAGCTTAGTGCCAGAGGCAGGACAAGAGGGAAAATGAAGAAAATGGATTAAGTCTGGGCAGCTGAACTGATTTGCCTTGGAAGCAGACAGAAGATGCCAAAAGGACAACCTGGCAGGTGGGTACCCAGGAAAGCCTGAAAGATGTCTGGAAGGCTGCAAAGCTTTAAAACTGATTCTGGAACAACCTGAAAGGCTTGAATGTTTCCAGGGTGGGGGGGAATAGTATAAAAATTGTCAAAGGGGCATCCTGAAGGATGTGAGGGAATCCTTCACATTCCCTGACAGAGAACCACTATTAACTATGGACATAATCATTTCCTGTGCTTTTCTGCTAGAAGGACAGGAGATTGCAGAAGGAACTGAAAACTGGGTCATGTTAACAAATTATTAAATTTCAGAAACTCCCTGCTCCGAACCTCTAACAGCAATGTCATAAGAAGGTTCACTTACACAGATGTGCAAATTGAAGCTTGGACAAGATACACTGCCTGCCTGAGGCCATAAAGGCAATCCAAGAGGAGATTTAAAGTAGGACAGATGTGATAATCCTTGTAGTATGCTCTAGCTACTACCCACTTCACCCCAGCCCCAGTAAATAAACCTGCTATTATCCTTCTTGAAAGAACTTTATCCAACAGTACTCTGCTGGATACGGCTCTTTATTTGTTATTTATTTCTCTAGCTGTCAGGAAGCATGCATGGTAAGGCTCACAGAATTTTATGCAGCACATTTTACAGGGAGAGCAGTCATATAATTTAAGCACGTAACTAAGCTGTTACCTCCTCAGAGATGTCCACTGATCTCCACTGACAATATATGTATATGGCTATACAGGGACCCATCTTTGGTGCTTTCATTTGCATTTAAGTTAAATGCCAGGAGTAGGGTATGTGTAGTGGTCTTGATTACACCCTAAGGGGTAAACTTGTACATGAAAGATGCTTTTCATGCTACCAGCCATATTATTTTCAACAACAACTGCTTTTGTTACACAAAGCTTTGCATTATGAATACCAAAATTAATATTTGGAATCAGCAGCTGAATTCAAAAACATTCAAAATGTTTGGGGTTTTTCTTCATTTGTATGTTCCATATAATCATTAAATCAATGATTCTAACAATGGAACTTAATTTACAGTTACTGTCAGCCTAACTGCATTCACTGTTAGAAAACAATGCCTCTTCTCGTAAAAGCATCCCTATGCCTATGCTACTGTCCTGGGTTCAGCTCTAACAGTCATTTTTTTCCTTCTTAGTAGCTGGTGCAGTGCTGTGTTTTTGACTTTAGTCTGCGAACAATACTGATAACACGCAGATGATTTTAGTTGTTGCTAAGTAATGCTTACTCCGATCAAGGACTTTTCAGTCTCTCATGCTCTTCCATGTGCCTGGTGCACAGGAAGCAGGAGGAAGCAGAGACAGGACACTAACCCAAACTAACCAAAGGAGTATTCCATACCACAGCACACCATGCCCAGTATATAAACTGGGGGCAGTTACCCGGAAGGCCCAGATCGCCGCTCAGGTCAGGCTGGCTACTGGTCAGTGGGTGGTGAGTGATTGTATTGTACATCACGTGTGTTTATTGGTTTGGTTGTGTTTTTTTTCCTTTCCCCTTTTAGTTTCATATTTTCTCCCCTTGTTATTTCCTTTATCATTATTAGTAGTTTTGTGTTATACCTTAGTTACTGGACTGTTCTTATCTCAACCCGCAGGATTTACATTCTTTCGATTCTCCTCCCCATCCGCCCCCCCCCCCCGGTTGAGTAAATGGCTTCATGGTGCTGAGTTATCAGCTGCATTTAAACCACGACTGCTACTCTCATCTTATTTTCTAAAACCTAAGAGAAACAGAAACCAGGAAACAGCTTTCTCCTAGTTAACTGGGAAGAAGAGGGATTGTTTACTGTTTTTCCTCTTGTGTGATGGGTGCCTTCACCCTACAGGCAGGGTTTCCAAACACAGGTACTTGGGCAAATGATCTTTGTCATTTGACTGACTGCTTACATGTTGTTTTTTGATCCTGTATGTACTTCTGACCCTAAATACATTTATTATCAGTAATTTTCTAAGCAGCAGAAATGCCCCCTAACCTCCTCCCTCAAATCCCAACTATGACATGAAATCATTTTACACAAAACGTATTACTCTAGTTTTGTTTTTAACTGTCTCAGGCTGTGACTTGTTTATTTAAAAAAAACAAACAACAAACAAAGCAAAAGAGCCCACAAACTATTTTTTGAAAAAAGAAAAAAAAAAAAATTGCCATACTTAAGCTGACTCACCACAGTTAATTGCAGAAAAACATGGTTTTGTTACTGAATGAACAGGTACGACTCAGTGACATAGAGGAAGCATGCTGAATAATAAAGTGTCATCTTGACATGACAGGTTTTCATTTTCAAAAGCACTATAAGGACTTGCACAAAAAAAAGCTATGTCTATACAAACCAAACCCTTAAATCAGATTACTGGTAAAGATCCTGCCCAGTTAACAAATGCAGCGTAGGAGATAACAGCTAGAGTTTAGACTACTGAACTCCTTGAAGTGCCCTTCATGGTGACATTCAGAAGTAGCAGGCAGAGTGTCAAAAGGACACTGAAGAAAGACACTTGGCTTCTAGTAGCAACACAGAGAAGAGCCTGGAGGTTAGTATAGAAGACTTTAACATACTACTTGAGCTACATTTCCTCAGTGGAAAACAGCCAACATTTTACATGGCAGAAATATAACGTAATACATAGAAAGCTCTGAGCTAAGGCAAGCAGAAGCATTTCTACTGAAAATGTCTGTGAAAATATCAGACTTCTCCAAATGGAAGCTAAAAACCTGCTGCTCCACTCTGATCTGCAATATGCTCAACCCTGGCTAGATCCATTCTGCAAAGCCTCATCACAACCCGGTAAAGCAGCCCCAAAATTTCAAATTGATACAAGGAACATGAAACCAGAACCTTGTAACAATGGAAACTCAATCCATAAACCATGGATAGGGTCAGGTGGCAAAACATACAAAGCATTCAAATCAACAGAGAACCTTAAAACACTGAGAGATGCTACATGCCTTCACCCTACAAGGAGGGTTTCCAAACACATGTACCCAGGCAGATGATCTTTGTCATTTGACTGACTGCTTACATTTTTTTTTAATCCTCTATCTACTTCTGAGCATAACCTCCTCCTCCAGACCCCTGTTCCAAGGGGATGGATGGATGTTCCATGGGGAGGGATGGATGGATGGATGGATGGATGGATGGATGGATGGATGGATGGATGGAACCTCTATCCCAGTGCTGTGGTCCAGCTGTACCATGCAGTGGCCCTGGCTCCTGGAAGAGGTGTGTGGCTCCAGCTCAAGAATGACTCTCACCCCCACATGACTACTAAAGGTTATAAAATGAAATCTGTGCCAGAATAAGGCTCTAACAGGGCTGTAACAATGCCAAAGAGTATTACCTAAGCTCTTAATCACCACCTAAGACTGCATCACTTACAGTATCTATGCCTAGTATTACCAAGATGGCCAAATACTCCTCAGTTTATCAGAGACTCATTCTTTATAAGTTTAAATGAAGCCTTAAAGGTTTTGCAATGTAAAAGGATCAAATTGTATAGTTACAAAATTAAGAACTAAGGCATTGTTATCCTTCTGCACTGTATACAGGATCAAATTCTCACCCTCCCATTAAAATGAATTCAATATTGTAACAACAGCAACAATGAAGACAACAGAAATATATCTCACAAATTGTATAAACACTTCAGTGAAGAACATACCTGATACATGTAAGTCCGTCTTTACTAATGTAGGTACTTCCTGCACAGATGTGGTAAAGTTCAGAATCTGAGGTACAATGCTAAGTTTAGTGTTGTTATATTCTTACCAGTGTGTTGTGTTCTTAAAGAAACAAGACTTTAACAGGGATGCAATAACGACAACTCGAGAGCGACTGGTCAGGTAAAAGGGCCATAAACCAAGCAGGCACACTCCAAATACTTTATTTTTTGCCTAGAGAACTTCTGCAAGGGGAGAAACAACACAGAAGTAAGTTGCTCCTTCCTCCCATCCACCAGGAATTTTATTGTGACAAATTAGAACCATAAAATAGTTTAAGTTGGAAGCAACCTATCAATGTCTCTGAGCAGCCTGACCTAGTCTTGATGCAAGCAGTGCCCAGCCTTTCTTCCTTTCTCTGTGCACCTCTGAAAGAACCTCCTGCCTTCTCTTTCCCCGCACTGAGGTAGCTGAAGACAGGGATGAGATTCCTCTCAGACTTGCTTTCTGCACAG